TGTTACTCCTTCAATCATCATAGGCACATCTTTGAGGGCTCCCAATGGTGTCTTCAATGTGCCATCAGCTATGGTTAAAGACACATTGCTTTGCTGGAACTTGGTGTAATCCAACTCCTTAGCTGTAGTTGATGGCAACATATTTATGCTAGCACCAAAGTCATATAGACAACTCTTGAAGGTTCTCCCTTTGAGCTCACATGGGAGAGTAAAGCAGCGAGGATCCCCAAGCTTGTTGATGTCCAGCTCCTTAACCTCTGATTCCTCAGCTTTGGCCAGTACTTTCCCAAGCTCTTCTTCAGCATCTAGACCTCTCATCTCCATTTAATCAGCATAAAAGGGTTGAGTACTTCTTGACTAGCTCCTGCTTGAATCTTCCTGAAAATGGAATGTCAGGCTGGTAAACTGGAAGCACATCAGCTTGAACCTGCTTCTTAGCATCAGAAACTTTGACAAGGTCTTCCCCCTCACTTTGGTCTTCATTGTCCTCATTGAGCAATGACAAGAACTTTTCTATAATAGCTTCTTCCTCAACAATACTTAAAGCATCTTTAGAATCAATAACTTGACAATACTCTTTGGGATTCATCTCACACTTTCCTGGAAGGTTACCTTGGGGCGTGGTCCACTAGCTACTCCTTTCTTGTTCTCCAAAGCCCTCACTCTTACAGCTAGACCATCAAACTTGTTTCCTTGTACTATAGAGATCAGACCTGACTTGATCTCAAAATTGCTGTTCCGAACAGCTGGAGGGATGATACTTGTTCTGTTGTTGTAAGCATTAGGCGCATCCCTTGCTCCAATGGTTCTTATAGGTCTTGGAGCTTGAGCTGCTCCTCTAGGACCTTTCTCTCCTTGCAGTCCTTGAAACCCCTTGTTGGCCATGTTGGCCATGAATTCCAGCTGCTCGTTGAGGTCCCTTATATCTCATATCATCAACACCTTGATCTTGGATGTTCATCCCTAATATCTCAAAGTGCTGTTGTCTTTCCCTTTGTCTCCTTGCCCTTTGACCTATGTCCAACAAGTTGATGTTATCTATGAAATCCACCAAGTTGCTAGAGCCTCTTGATCTAAGGTTCATAGACCTGAAAATAGCAATGCTCATTAAAGATGTTTATTAACCAAATACAAAGAAAAACTTGATCTTAGAGATTCTATAAGTCCTAATGATCCAAACAATGACCCCAATGGCAACGGCGCCAAATTGATACTAGATTTTTGAGCTCTTTCTCAATGACCCTTGTACTAATCAGTTGTAGCACATCATGGGGTTTTAAGTCAATCCAAGGGGTGAAGCTAGATTCCACTAGGATTATAGCATAATACTTTAAGTCATTTGAATCAAAGAAAAGAGTTGTTTAACACTACTAAACTATCAACCTAATTGAACATTGAACCAAGCAAAACTCAAGAAAGCAATACTTAGCAATGATCAAGTGCAAAACATAGCAAGCAAAAACAGAATACTTGCAAATTTAAAATTCGAAGATTAAAAGCAAGGATCCTAAATGTGGTTATTGACTTTGGGGAATTCAAAGGCAAGATAAGGCTTTTTTGAAACATCATTGACAATGCAAACAAGCACGCAATGCTAATTCATAGGCAGAAAGTTTACAATCAAGCAAGTTAAGTCCAATCTCTTCATAAATAACCCTTTGCTAATCATCCTAACAAGAACTAACTCTCATTAGTGCTAGAAAAATCAACAAGCAAGCATAACCAACTCTATTCAAGCCAAAATACTTCTTAGACAGTCAATCTCTTGAGCAAAGACAAGCAAATCCTCTATTAAACAAGATCAGCATTTCATCAAACACTTGGTGGGCATAAGATGAAGCTTAAATCTAGATTCATGTGATCAAGATAAATCTAGCCTAAGCACAGATTAATAGAGAGGAATCAATCTAATTAAGCACTAACAAATCCTAATCAAGCCTCTAAATTCTTCCAATCTACCACATCTAAATTCCTAAAAGTGACTACTCACTCATCATCATGAAAAATACCAAATCACAAAAGGAAAAGATGTTAAACGTGATTAAGAGGGAGATTAGAGAAGATTTAATGATGTAAATCCAAATGCAACCTAAGTCTAAAAGGAAAGGAAAATGGGACTAAAGAGAAGGAAAACATGCAAAAAGAAACCAAAACATGAACTAAAAGCAAGCATAAATGATGTAAATACAAGAGATATCAAGATTGCATGGTGAGATATGTGGGCCGATAAAACCACTGTGCCAGCCATTTAGATATGTTATAGTATTGATTAACGCATCTAGCATATGGTCACATGTGTGTCTTTTGACCACAAAAAATATGGCTTTCGCAAGATTCATTGCCCAAATAATCTTGTTGAGAGTGCATGCCCCTGATTATGCCATAAAAAAAGTCAGGCTTGATAACGCTGGTGAATTCACTTCAGCGGCCTTTAATGACTATTGTATATCCTTGGGAATTGATGTAGAGCATTCAGTCCCACGTGTTCATACACAAAATGACATGACAAAGTCTTTGATTAAGAAATTGCAATTGATTGCAAGACCATTAATCTTGAGAACAAAGCTTCTAATCACTGTGTAGGAACATGCTATATTGCATGATGGGGCTTTGGTCCAGATAACACATGAATATTCCCTTATACAGTTAGCATCTGGCCAGAAGCCAGATGTATCCCATATTCATGTGTTTGAGTGCGCGGTCTATGTCCCTAAAGCGCCACCGTAAAAAGAAAAAATGGGACCCCAAAGGAGATTGGAAATATATATCGTGTATTCGTCACCACGTATAATTAGATATCTTGAACCAGCAACTGGTGACAAGTTCACGGCACGGTTTACCGATTGCCACTTTGATGAAAGTAATTCCCTGCGTTAGGGGGAGGATTGAGATAATCACCAAAAGACATCACCTGGTGTTAACACTCTTGGGCTTATCTTGATCCTCCTACAAACCAACGCGAGGTTGAAGTTCAGAAAATTATACATATGCAAAGTTTGGTAAACCAGTTACCTGATGCGTTCACAAATACGAGAAGGGTAATGAAGTCCTAAATCCCCGCAGCTAATGCTCCATCAAGGGTAAATGTTCTTGAAGAACATATTAATGTAAGTAGAGAAAATGAACCGAGTATTCACATGAAGCATGAAAGACCTATGGGATCAAAAGATAGAAATCCCCACCAAAGAAAGAAATTGGAAGCAAGGGTTCCGGAAGAACCAAATAAAGTCAAATGTCCTAAAGACAGTTATGCGAAGGTTCCTAAAGAACCGAATGAAGATATATGTCCGGAGGACATATCTGAACCGGTTCCTGAAGAACCAGGTAAAGATATTTGTCCTAAAGACGAATCTGGAGCAAAAAAATATAAGATTTCCATTTTCTTCGTCCAAAGTGGAAAATTATAGGCTAGAAGTGAAATAGAAGATAATGACAGAACGTTCTCTTTTTTTGTTTAAAGAGATCGATCAGGAAAATGATGATCAAGATCCAAGTTCCATGTCAGAGTGCCAAAGAAGGCTTGACTGGTATAAATGGCAAGCCATGAGGAATGAAATATTCTCCCTTAATAAACGGAATGTATTCATACCGATAATTATTACACTTGAAGATGTAATGCCGGTCGGATGCAAATGAGTCTTTGTAAGAAAAAGAAATGAGAAAATAAGGTCACCATGTATAAAGCTCGCCTTGTGGCGCAAGTGAGTATTTGTTGAGTAAAGGTTACATCAAAAATGCGGTATGCCCTTGTGGCTTTATTAAGAAATCCGCATCAGAATTTGTGATCATTTCTGTATATGTTGATGACCTGAACATGAGTGGAAATCAAAATAAGATTGATGATGCAAGAGCTCATATGAAAGATGAGTTCAAACTGAAAGATTTTGGAAAGTCAAAGTTTTTGTCTAGAGCTCCAAATAGAGTATTTTCAAGAAGAAATATTTGTGCATCAATCAAATTACACAAGAAGGGTGTTGAAACACTTTAGTATCGATAAAGAAACTCATTTGAGTACCCCAGTGGTCAATAGACCACTTGATGTTAACAAGGTTCCATTTCAGCTTTGTGAAGGGAACAAAGACATATTAGGTCCTGAAGTGCCTTTATGAGCACTATCGGCGCCCTTATGTATCTTGCAAATTTTACTAGACCAGATATAGCTTTTGCTACTAATTTACATGCAAGGTATAGTTCATCACCGACGCACCGACATTGGAATGGAAGAAAGCATATATTCCGCTATCTCCAAAATTTGATTGATTTTTAATGAACATCTTAAATACGGACTTGTTCATCTTCAATCAATGTTCCTGAATCCTGCGATCGAATTAAGAGTTGAGAAAATTAGAGCACTTCTTTCTTTTCTTAGAAAATCGGTGAGTCCGTCGTATATTGTGTGACGAAAACGGCGGAGGACAGATTCTGATTAGGGTTTTTCTGTGATGTAACTCATACCTTTAAAGGAGTTGTTTTGGATAAACAAAAAAAAAAGTCGGTGGATCAGCTGTATACTCCGGCGTTAGCGCTTCAGGAAGGGTTTATATAATTTATGGTTTTTAAGACCCACCGCTTTGAATTAAATAGTTTGATTTTTCTTGTTTGGTTTGATTTGAATGGGATCGGTCTGGTTTATCCAGAACAACTCTTTTATCAAATGCTTAAATGTATATTTCTTGGGGACCACGCTACAATATCCACGAGTTTTAGTTTGTGCGTTGAGATGTCCAAGTTTTGCTAATCTTAAAGACTTGACCCCCGCAGCTTTCGAACGAACTAAGAGCACCTATTATATAAGACTGGCTGTGTCTCACAAGGGGGTAACACGTCAGCATTCTCCTCCATGACACCTCAGTTTTTTTTTTTTTTTTTTTTTCTGTTTTTAGTTTTCATTTTCGTGTTGCATTAAATGATTTTGTATTGGGCCGAAATTACAATAAAATCATAACAAGTGTGGCCTATTAAAAACCTAATATATTATTCTGTATGTTTATCTATTTTTCCTAAAATCCAGAAATCCCAAAAAATAGAAATCAAACAAATCGCTAGAGGTCATGGCTTCTGGCAAAGATTTCGAATAGAGTGGACTTTCCGACTAACGAAGCCGTCGCCAGGAGTTTGATGGCCAGATCTGCCGCAATCCCCTTCCGCCATCTCTTTTCGCCTTCGTCGATGTGGAGGATATTGCGTCTTTTGACAAAATTAGGGTTTCGCGTTAAGACAAGGAGAGAAAGCCGTCCCTTACAAACGCAGACACCTTCTCTGTCGCCTCCCAGATGAAGCTCATCGCAATCATCGCCGCGAGATCTCCAAGTATCTCTTTAAAGGTAAACATCTTGTGTCCACCTTCCTTCTGCTTTGAATCTCGTTGGTTTTCATGGGGAAAAGGGTTTTGGCATTGATCGATTCACTTTTTAAAAAATGTGTTCATTTGTTTGTGCAGAGGGAGTTCTCTTCGCGAAGAAGGATTTCAATTTCACGCAACATCCTTTGGTTGAGGGTGCTACTTGGAGATGTTGGAGTTGGAAAATCAAGTCTTCTGCTTCGGTTTGTCAAAGATCAGTTTGTTGAATTCCAGGTTGGTGGATATTCTCGAGCAGCCTTTCTAGAGATCTTTTGTTATCGCGTTTCTCTGTCTGATTCTTGAGTTTCTGATACTTGCTTGTGTTTAACAGGAATCAACGATAGGTGCAGCTTTTTTCTCTCAAACATTGGCTGTGAATGATGCAACTGTGAAGTTTGAGATATGGGATACAGCTGGTCAGGAGCGTTACCATAGCCTGGCACCAATGTACTACAGAGGTGCAGCTGCTGCGATTATTGTCTTTGACATTACAAATCAAGTACGAATTCTCAATCCCGTGCTTTAAGCAAGAACGCGTTTAGACCTTAGGTTTGCTTAAGTTATTTTCTACTGTCAGTGTCACAGGCGTCATTTGAGAGGGCGAAGAAATGGGTTCAGGAACTGCAGGCACAAGGTAAGGAATCGCTGACTATTGGTTTAGATTATATATATATCACTTGAAGTAAATTTCATGTCTTTTTGTTTTAATAGGATGTCTTAACTTTGGATTCTGATATTGCTCATGTTGAATAGGATATTGTCATGTATGTGAATTCTCCGGGTGTATCAGTTGGTGGATCAGTTACAGCTGGTAATAACACATTCCCAGCTAACTTTGATCAGTTAAAGTTGATCTTATGCATCAAATTTTATTTTGGTTCTCATTGTTAATGACTCCTGTATCTCTCACTTTCCCCACGTATGGCTATCTTCGATACTATGAGGCATATCCGGCCTGATGTGTCCACTGTTTGTCTCGGTTTAGTGCTGGAACCAAAGGTAGTCTCTTAACCCTTTCTTTCACAAGTAAAGGCTTTAGTTAAGACTATTGTTGTTAATTTCCGGATGCGAGCTTAGCTTTATTTGTATAACAGTAGGAAAAATACAGCCTCCGATTCTGAAGCTCAGGGTGGCCAAGCCCTCATTGACATTTAGATCATTCATCCATGCCTTCTTATTTTGAATTCATTGCAGCTTTTGTCTTAAGAGGGACTAGATTGAGCTGAATTTCAATTCAATTTTTATAACCTGACCCGACAAGTTCATGGTCTGAAACTCAAACCAGGCAAATGAAATGCTGCATCACAAGGCAAACCTAAATGGTTCCCTCGCATACCACACGGGTCAAAGTTTGGGGAAGATAAAGCAGGACACAGACCGTGATTTCTTCATGAGTGCTAAAGAAGCGAAAGAATATGGACTTCTTGACGGTGTCATCATGAACCCTCTTACAGCTCTCCAGCCACTTGCAGCAGCTTGATCTCCTGAAGGTAATGGTTCAACTTAGCACTTTTTTCCATGAAATATGCTATTTATTTTAGATGGAGAATCAGATTTGTTCGGGATTAAAAATTTCAGTAGCTGATACATACATGAAGAACAAAGTAGAGTTTGTTGCTCTGCTGTTTGTTGAATAACATTGACCTTTTAAGCAATGGTTTCATCTTTATAATAGAATTATTAGCCCATTTTGTCTTTATATTTATCGCAGGAAAAAGAGATCATATGCCAAGCCAGAATAATTGATATTTCGGAAAGAAATGGGTGGAACTATTTGTCTTGTGCCAAATGTTCGAAGAAGTTAAGTAGGACTGAAGCATCCCTGCAATGCAATATCTGCAATGAAGCAGATACCATTGGAATTCTGAGGTAAACATCAAATATCATATATCACTCTCCTTTTCATCCAAATTGTTCAAACATTCATATTCAAATTTACTGCCCAAGTACAATGTGGAGTTGCAAGAACCAAGTTTGTCTTGTTTGACAAAGATGTTCGCAAGCTTACGAACACTACTGCCGAAGAGATTACTGCACAGGTAAAATAAAATAAACAGTAGGAAATATTTAATTAATCAGTTTACCGGCTTCACAAAGCTGACGTAGTATTCTGTATAATATATAGTTTAATTTTCAGAAGCCAGAGAAAAAGGAAGACATCCAGTCTCCTGACTTGATTCCAAAGTGTCTTCGTCGGTTGATTGGCAAAAATATGGACTTTCAAGTGAAGATAACAAATTACAACTTCAGGACTTTTTTCCAAACATTCACAGCTACAAGAGTTGTGAATGAAAAGCCAGAAGTAACTTCTACGAATAAAATCCAAGCCATAAAGGTAATCGCTAATATCAAACAACTTTATGCAATATTTGATTTGAAATATGCCATGTTTCATAATATTTGACTGGTTCATAAGATATCCTGAGGTTTTCCAGTCCACACATACACACTTATACTTGATTATCAATGATTGTATTAAAATTCCGGATAGTGGAACCAGCGAAGAAGAAGAAAATGTCTTTGACGAAAAGCTAAACATGGTTGCGATAAAAAAGAAGATGGCAAGGAATTTCTGGACTTTGAAGATGGAGTTGGACATCGTGATAAAAAAAAAGCCAACTATGTAATAATTGGCTAAAGCAGTAAAGAGCAGATGTTTTCTTTCGTGGTTTTCATAACACAATTCTTCTTTCTTGGCTTTTAGAACACATGTTTTGTTTTCTACCTCATAGCACATCTCTTTATTTAACAATTTCACAGATAATATGCACATTTATATCTCTTTTATTACTAAGTTCAGCTTGACATCGTTACATTTTATTTGAAATGTTTGAGTGTTAATTAATCAGAAAGCATGTAATCAAATAATCTATGTATCTTTAAATAAGTTTTTTAATCATAAAATGTATCTGAGAGTCTAATTGAAATCTTTTGTTACTGAAATCTTTCATTCCAAAAACTTAATTGCAAATTTATGTCATTCACTCATTGATTTTGAAATTTAAGTTCAAGTCATGTGTTATTCGATTTGTTCAAAACAAAATCATGTGTTAGACGATAAAATTAGAAAGACAAATCTCAGGTGAAACCTTAGTTGTCGACAAAAGCAATTTCTTTCGTGTACACGGTGGTGGACTCCAAGTTTGTTTAACCCTTTTCGTTTTCTGATTAATTTTCTAAGCTAATGGGCCAGAATTTAAATTATGGGCCACCCGGCCTCTATACACACTAATTCATTTTTATTTAGTTTAGAACCTTATATTATTAATGTGTTCACAAACATCACCTAACAAGACAATTTATTAAGAATGATAAGTAGGTGTTTATACAAGTCATCTTATTTATTAAACCGTCCGACTTATTACGTACAAACTTTTCTTTTTATTTTAAGCTGATAACTTAAAATATTATATTAGTTACAAGTTCAAAAATATATAATAAAACATATACCCGCGTGTATACACAGATCATCACTTAGTCTCTATTAATAAGTATCTCAGCTAAGTGTCTCAATACAAATAATATTAATTAGGTAGTTAGTCTACATGTATGTATTGTTGGAACTTAAATTTTGGCAATTATGGATTCTTTGAAATCTTTGTAATGAGCACTAATAGACAATGTAATTACTTGTCAAAATCGAAGTTAATTTAAATAAGAAATAAATGGTCAAAATGGATATGTAATCAAGACTAAAAGTCAAGATGTGTATTTGTTATATATTGGAAGTATGAGGGCTATTATGCAAAACCATAAAAGAATTTCTTTTTTGGAATAAATCTTTATTGACTTATTTAATAAAATTGTCAATATTCCATTTATAATTTTGTATAGTATCGATAAATCTTTATTGATTGAGTCGAATTATTTTATGGAATATTTCTATTTCTCTTATCCTTGTAAAATAAGGAATAAAGATTTTTGGAATATTTTTGTTTCCTTTGTTAAACAAGGTATAAAGGTTTTCGGGATATTTCCGTTTTTCATTAACCTTGTTGAACAAGGAACAAATATATTAGAAATATTTCCGCTTATCTTCTGTGAGTAATAAGGAAAATTTCTTGTACCACAAACCTCTATTCCACTATAAATAAGGACCTCTCTCATTCATTATTCTTCATCCAGAAAAGCAATAAGCTTTCAAACACAAAATCCAGCAAATCCCTCTCGTCTCTACAGTCTTAGGTGAGTCTCGAGACTATAACGTAGATTCTTAAGTTTGCAGATTCTATAGTCGGGTGCTGCGACTTTAGTCTCAACACGGTTGTATCCTGGGATTCTGAATCTCTTCAAACCGCCACACTGCGGGAAATTTAAAGAATTAAGGAAAGATATCATATCTCGACTCCGTGTATCGTCTTTCCTTAAAGGTTTTATTAAAGCGTTTTATACTTTTATTATCGTTTATTATTGATTTAAATCGTTTTTATATTCGTGATTTTCAATCTGGATTTTCGCGGTCCCACAAGTATGTGTAGATATAATTTTTTTATAAATATAATCATATCTATAATATAAAAGATGGCTAACTCTCTCTAATTGAGTGCCACATCAGCATTGGAGAGAGTGACACCTGTCATTTTAAATTTTATAATTAATAATCTATTATTTTAATGCAATCAGAATTAGATTAATTAATTATTTAACTTTTAATTATATGGACCTTTCAACGCTTTCTGTCAAGAAAAAGGCATCATACATCAAACAACTGCTCCCTACTCACCAGAATCTAACGGAGTTGCAGAGAGAAAGAATCGCACTTTGAAAGAGATGATGAATGCAATGTTGCAAGAATCTGGGGGGGGGGGGGGGGGGGGGGGAGGGGAAGCGCTGCTCACCACAAACTACATCCTCAACAAAATTCCACACATGATTACTGGCAAAACGCCATATGAACTTTGGAAAGGAACTGTACCTTCGTACAAATACCTCAAAGTGTGGGGGTGCTTAGCAAAAGTCGATGTGCCACCTCCTAAGAAGCTGACAATTGGACCTAAAACGGTTAATTGCATCTCCATCGGATATGCACATAATAGCAGTGCTTATCGATTCATTGTACATAAGTCAGATGTACCAGACATCCATGTCAACACGATAATGGAATCTAGGAATGTGTCTTTCTTTGAAAACATCTTTCCATGCAAAGAGTAACAAAGTAAGAAACACACTCATGATGAAAGAGACGATAGCATCTCTGTAAATGAGGAGAGCCCTTCTGGAATTTCAGTTGATGAAGCAGAAGATGAAGAAGATGAACCTAGACGGAACAAAAGAGCACGCAAGGAAAAATCTTTTGGTGATGATTTCTTAATGGTATTTCTCACAGAGAATGAGCCAAGATCATACACAGAAGCCATGTCTACACCTGATGCATATTTCTGGAAAGAAGCAGTCAATAGTGAAATTGATTCTATAATGTAGAATCATACTTATGAGATCACTGACTTACCTCAAGGTTTCAAAGCGCTAGGGTGTAGATGGATATTCAAATCAAGTTGAAAACTGATGGTTCAATTGAAAAGTACAAGGCCAGACTTGTGGTTCAAGGATTCAGACAAAAAGAAGGTCTAGATTTCTTCGATACCTATTCTCCAGTAACGAGAATAACTTCAATAAGAATTATGATAGGAGTTGCAGCCCTAAGAGGACTCGAAATCCATCAGATGGATGTAAAAACGGCCTTTCTAAACGGTGATCTAGAAGAGGAGATTTACATGAAGCAACCCGAAGGATTTGTGGTCCCGGGTCAAGAACACAAAGTCTGTAGACTTGTGAAGTCATTATATGGTCTGAAACAAGCTCCAAAGCAATGGCATGAAAAGTTTGACAATGTAATGATGTCAAATAGTTTCAGCATAAATGAGTGTGATAAATGCATCTACATCAAAAGTACTCCTCACGGGTATATCTTGTTGTGTTTATACGTTGATGACATGCTCATCATGGGAAGTAGCAATGATATCATCCAACAAACCAAGACAATGCTTAGTGGTCAGTTTGACATGAAAGACATAGGTCTTGCGGATGTTATCCTTGGCATAAAGATTACACGCACCTCTGAAGACATCACTTTGTCTCAAGGGCATTATGCTGAAAAGATTCTTGAGAGGTTCAAGGCCTACTCAAACGGAACTGCGAAGACTCCCGTGGATTCGCAACTACACTTGACAAAGAACTCCGGTGGAGCTGTTTCACAAGTGGAATATGCAAGGGTCATTGGCAGTCTAATGTACCTAACCAATTGTACACGACCAGACCTTGCGCATGCTGTCAACATGTAAAGTCGGTACACAAGTAATCCAGGTCATACACACTGGAAAGCCATAACAAGGGTATTAAATTATTTGCGATACACCAAGAGTTATGGGCTGCACTACGGTAAAGAACCAGCATCTTTGGAAGGATACAGTGATGCAAACTGGATATCAGACTTAAAGAATTCGAAATCCACAAGTGGATACGTCTTTACTCTAGGAGGTGCAGCAGTATCTTGGAAATCTTCCAAACAAACTCTGTTAGCAAGATCCACAATGGAATCTGAGTTCATAGCGCTAGACAAGGCAGCAGAGGAAGCAGAATGGCTACGGAATTTCCTTGAAGACATCCCCATGTGGGAGAAACCAGTGCCAGCATTACGAGTGCATTGTGATAGTCAATCAGCAATAGCTCGGGCATTGAGTAACCTATACAATGGTAAGTCTCGTCACATCAGAAGGCGACATAAGACCAGTAGACATTTGATCTTAACGGGTGTAATCTCGGTCGATTACATTAAGTCAGTTGACAATCTTGCGGATCCGTTCACTAAAGGTTTAAATAGAGATCAAGTTTTGAAATCATCAAAGGGAATGGGTTTATTGCCTATGACTAAAGAGGATGTTTGATGGAAACCCCACTTATGTGATTGGAGATCCCAAGATCTAAGTTCAAAGGGACAACCAAATCGAACAGTCTGATGAAAGCACTGAAAGACATAACGTTTGTGCCCATCTCCCAAAACGATGTACAGCGCTCCCTATAAGTTTTAAAGGATAAGTTTTATAATTTTAATGATTTTGAGTAGGTTTCATAATATAGAGTAGAACAGGATACTTGTGTATATGTCAGGAGCTCAAAGAAATCACCTAGTGAGTGTGAAATGCGGCCGTTTCTAGGAGGATGAAGACAAGACTATATCTCCAAGTTCACTCATGACAACCAGGCAAGTTCACGGCCACAATGAACACAATAGAGAACTTAGTTCTACGAGAAGATGAGACTGGGTTGTACCTGTTGTCTAAATTTACATAAAAATCCGGGCGGTTCAAGACATCATGTTTACCTCCTGGCCAAGTAAACTCGACAGATATTAACAATGAATATCTCAAGGCTGAAATATGCTACTATATCATACACAGTTAATTTTTTGCCTATACTCTCGAAAAGTCCTAGTGTCAAGTCCTAATGTGTCTGCATAGTCTTTCGAGTTAGTAGAGTCTACATATGTTTTAGAGTAATTTCTATTCATGTGGGGGATTGTTGGAACTTAAATTTTGGCAATTATGAATTCTTTGAAATCTTTGTAATGAGCACTAATAGACAGTGTAATTACTTGTCAAAATCGAAGTTAATTTGAATAAGAAATAAATGGTCAAAATGGATATGTAATCAAGACTAAAAGTCAAGATGTGCATTTGTTATATATTGGAAGTATAAGGGCTATTATGCAAAACCATAAAAGAATTTCTTTTTTAGAATAAATCTTTATTGACTTATTTAATAAAATTGTCAATATTCCATTTATAATTTTGTATAATATCGATAAATCTTTATTGATTGAGTCGAATTATTTTATGGAATATTTCCATTTCTCATATCCTTGTCAAATAAGGAATAAAGATTTTTG